ATCATTCTTGAAAGCAGACCGCTTGGCAACCCCCGACGTGACTACGGCGTGCCTTTCCGCCGTATAAGTAACCCCTCCACGTACAGGCCTCGCCACAGGTCGATTAAAATAATTAATGGTGTTCACGTATGCACGTAGCAAAGCCAATCGGCGCATCTTCATGGGGCGCACGCTTTGAAGGCAGGCCGACTTCTTTGGCAAGGAATGCTATCGCCACGGAGGATGCCCGAAGTGCCATCTTTCAACGTGAAACGCTGCCATGAGCTTGAAGGTCAAAGTCGATGGTGTGCACCAATCGTTCAAGTATCAATAATCCGTCAGTGCACGCCAGATGCCATCTCAGTTGTGGATCCTGTTTTATATAATAATTAGATAGCAACTGATATCTCTTTCTTGACTGACGCTGAAAGATACTCGATGAATGGACTTCTGAGCTACAAATGGAATCCTACAATCTCAAGCGTGGCGACGGCTAGGATTCTCGAACAAACCTTGCGCTAGGCTGAATAAGTTGAATACCTATCTATCCCTGCGCATCACTTACCAAAGTCCTTGACCCGACCTGCCTTTTTGAGTGACGCGTATTTCAAAAACGTTGTTTGGTTTTCGTGACACCGCGCAAGCAACGGCGGCTTTTACGGTTGGCGAGCAGGGCCAGGTCTGTTTTGACGTCCAGAAGTTATAAGAAGCGATATTTTTATCTCTGGGGTCCATGTATCGAAGGCTGTGACATTCATCGTCACAATTAATATAGTTCTTTTTAATATAAACGATTTATTCCCGGACATCGCTGAGCGCTGCGAGCAGTAGTTTTCGGTGTTCGCATATGTACGGTGCGCCAGGATTCACATTTCTCATGTGGGGATCCTGGTGAATTTGCCGTGCCGTCCACGTCGACATATTTTATTAATTTCTGTATCTCCTTATGTTTTTTCTGAAATACATGTTTTGCGCTTCCACATGGAAGTGGTGTTTTGATCTTTCTCACGGAGACAAACAAGAGACAAACCTAGTACCCGTTGTTGGAGCACATCCACGAACTGGCAGCCTTGCATTTTCCGTTGCTTTTCCTCGCTGTGTTCAACGCGAGAAGGTACTAGGACTTGCGGGTTAGGACCATACGGTTGGCGAGCAGGGCCAGGTCTGTTTTGACGTCCAGAAGTTATAAGAAGCAACTAAGAAGTGATATTTTTATCTCTGGGGTCCATGTATTGAAGGCTGTGACGTTCATCGTCACAATTAATAATAATATAATTCTTTTTAATATACTTAAACAATTTATTACGCAATCCAGATGTACACTAGGCTCCGATGACATGGACACGCTCACCTTCAACGCGCCCACTGGCATCTTGTTCCGACATGTAACTCAGAGGCGAAGAAGCAGCCTATCAGCGAGATGAACCCTAAGGAGGCCCTTGAAGTGCCTGACATGAACATGAGTTAATTAGCTGCCTTTCTCTTCGTTTTCCTCCGTACGCTAACCATCATTCCAAGTTGTTTGACCTATGTATCCCCCTTGGATGCGACTACCTCGAGCCTATCAAAGACGTCGGTCCGAAATTCCTACTCAAGCTGATACGTGAGTATGGAGCGTCGTGAAGGAAGCACTTGAGAGAAAAGTGAGTTCTCGTTACCACGCACATGCTGTTACTGATTCTCTTCCAGAGCCGCCATACAAAGAGCAGCTCAGGCTACCGTCGACTCGGACGAAGAGTTCGAGCATGAAGAGGAAGACGAACCAGCGCCAACGAGCGTGGAAGATCAAAATCCTACACCCGATGACTGAATGGATGCAGGAGAAACAGAGGATAGTCGAAGAGGCGCCAAGTGCACTCATCGTTGGGGGTGGTGCTTTGGGTATTCGTGAGTTTCCGCCATTCAACGCATGGACTATGGATGTTGACGATGAAACAGCTGAAAACGAGAAATGCGGCCTATAAGCTCTACTCAAGCCCTAGCTGCCCCCGCCATGCCATCTCTCCTTCTCCACCACGAACATCGCACAGCGTATCGTCACCAGCGTCTACGTGTCTTCCTCCACAGGCGTCGACGCAGCATCCGCTTTCTTCGTCGGGACATACGGCCGTGCCCACGAACTCCCCGTCGCACTAGGAACACCAGCAGCTGGAGCCGTAGTGGTCGCAGGTGACGCAGTGGTGGGAGTTACAGGACTAGCGGAAGCTACTGCCGCTGGGGAAGGGGTGATGGGAGCAGCGGGGGCAGGTTTGGGTTTAGGCATACCGTTGGCAGCTGCTGCGTTTGCTGCGTTCATCCATCCGTACTTTCCACCTGGGCCTGCTGCTTGTGTTGCTACGGCATTGTACATTTTCTTGCACATATTATATTTCTAGGGATTACTTACGCTTTACTGCTACATACTAATGGTACCTGAAAAGAGTGACACATATGGTATACTCATTGTGAATACGTCGGAAGCGGTGACAAGGACCCCAGGCTCCTGTCAATTTTTTTCGGATCAGGCTCTATCAGACTTCAAACAGACCTGACCCTGCTCGCCAACCGTAGGACCATCTCTACCTCTTGCTTGCGTTGCCTTTTCCATATGTGCTTCCTAGTGACACGTTTCACGATGGTGCGTTTCACTAAAGCTTACCCATCTTCTCACTTTGCGCTGAGCTGGGGCGGGGAGGGAAGGTATACCTTGCGCTCTATGTACACTGCCTATTCTTACACGCAATCCAGATGTACGCTACAGACTCAAATGACATGGACGCGCTCACCTTCAACGCGCCCACTGGCATCTTGTTCCGATATTTAACTTTCTCAGAGGCGAAGAAGCAGCCTATCAGCGAGATAAATCTTAAGGAGGCCTTTGAAGTGCTTGTCATGAACATGAGTCAAGCAGCTGCCTTTCTCTTCGTTTTCCTCCATACGCTAACCATCATTGCAAGTTGTTTGATCAATGTATCCCCCTTGGACGCGACTACCTCGAGCCCATCAAAGACGTCGGTCCGAAATTCGCACTCAAGCTGATACGTGAGTATGGAGCGTCGTGAAGCGCTTGAGAGAAAAGTGAGTTCTCGTTACCACGCACATGCCGTTACTGATTCTCTTCCAGATCCACCATACAAAAAGCAGCTCAGGCTACCGTCGACTCGGACGAAGAGTCCGAGCATGAAGAGGAAGACGAACCAGCGCCAACGAGCGTGGAAGCTCAAAGTCCTACACCCGATGACTCCAACGGGGGTAAAGTACAGAGGCCTTAAAGTCGAGGGTATTGAATGGATGCAGGAGAAACAGAGGATAGTCGAAGAGGCGCCAAGTGCACTCGTCGTTGGGGGTGGTGCTTTGGGTATTCGTGAGTTTCCGCCATTCAACGCATGGACTATGGATGTTGACGATGAAACAGCTGAAAACGAGAAATGTGGCCTGTAAGCTCTACTCAACCCCTAGCTGCGCCCTTCCCACCGCCATGCCATCTCTCCCTCTCCACCACGAACATCGCACCGCGTATCGTCACCAGCGTCCACGTGTCTTCCTCCACAGGCGTCGACGTAGCATCCGCTTTCTTCGTCGGGACATACGGCCGTGGCCACTGCGAACTCCCCGTCGTACTAGGAACACCAGCAGCTGGAGCCGTAGTGGTTTCAGGTGACGCAGTGGTGGGAGCTACAGGACTAGCGGAGGCTACTGCTGCTGGGGAAGGGATGATGGGAGCAGCGGGGGCAGGCTTGGGTTTAGGCATACCGTTGGCAGCTGCTGCGTTTGCTGCGTTCATCCATGCGTACTTTCCACCTAGGCCTGCTGCTTGTGTTGCTACGGCATTGTACATTTTCTTGCACATATTATATTTCTAGGGATTACTTACGCTTTACTGCTACATACTAATGCTACCTGAAAAGTGTGACACATATGGTACATATATTCATTGTGAATACGTTGGAAGCGGTGACAAGGACCCCAGGCTCCTGTCAAATTTTTTCGGATCAGGCTCTATCAGGCTTCAAACAGACCTGACCCTGCTCGCCAACCGTAGGCTTTGCAACGGCTCGACAGGTACAAATGAC